GAGGGTGCTAGGATAGGAGCATCCTTCCACGCTGACTAGTATAGCAAATCTCTCGTGGACCGTTGTTATGGACCGCAGGGGAAATCAACGGCTCGAGTTAACCGTGCCCAATGGTTGAAGGTTCGCGGGGCTCTCGCTTCAATTACTCCTGAAGCAGCTTAGCGCTGCCACAGCAGTAAGCACTTACTACGTAAGTGCCCGCCACCCAAGCGTCCCGGGCCACCCAGGCGTCCCGTCATGGTGTTGAAGATAGTTGATCAAGTTGGAGTCTATTGTATTATCTGAAGCTCACCCGGTGTCGCACCCTGCAATGCCGGGTGCTGATTTGGGTGAGAGTTTGCTAACAAAGTTGCCTTCGAGCTTGCCTCTGCAGACTCCTGCTGAGCTTGAGAATGGACCTGTTGCTCTTGCTTCTTCGTACGCTTTTAGCGCTTTGTCTCTGCCAGCGCGCGGGCGTCTGCAACCCTCCTTGCCTCCTTTATACTGATTGCCCCTCTACGCTGTGTAACAGTCCGCTTTTGACCTTGCCGGAGGTTCCGAGCGGCTGTTGCCGCCTCTGTTTTTGCAAGCTGTTCAACTGCCAAGGCCCCTGAATCAGCCTGAATAATAGCGCCTCTAATAAAGTGTTTAAAGCGAGCTTTCTGCTCTGGTGGGAGGTTAGAGCTAATTGTACCTCCGAATATCTTTAGTGAATAAGGAGTAAGCGGTGTTGGAGGGTTAGAGTCTCCGCGGGGTGGAGGAGAAGGTGTTCGAGGCTTTGTAACCTCACGAAGCTTTGAGATAACTAGCTCTGGGTTAAATGGGAATATGCCTGCGTTGCGCCAGGCACCTAATATTGTACTGCGTTTGAAAGTCTTCGCACGCACGCTTTCAATTACGCTGAGAAATTTAAGCTTGTTGAAGTTGAGACAGCCGGCACGTGTTGATTCGTCGACTGCTTCAGCGTGCTAGTGCTTATAGGGTTGAAAGACGCCCATATTAAGAGGTTGATAGAGATGTGAGGTATGAGGCCTGAGAAAGTATATAAGGATATTATATTTCTCGCAATAGTCGAGTATTTCGAAGGTCTAATAGGAGCCATAACCGTCTAGTACTAGCAGTCGGTATTTGCCGAGTTGGCGGCGACTACTCTACTTGTCGAAGTACTTGATCTATGCCATATATATGTCGTTATTCGAATAGCTAGTAGAGGATACTGCTATAAGGCTCCGAGGGTTGAGGTCGTTGTAGAGGACCCAGCGTTGTTGATGAACCGAGCCGGGCAGGATAATCAGCGGAGGGAGGACTGCTCCATCTCCACTAATCGCCTTACCCATGGTTACTAGCTCGCGCTGGTTGCTAGCAGCAAGAAAGGGCTTGTGAAGAACGTCCTTTGTGATAATTATCTCGTCCTTGCCGACCCTAATACGAAAGCCTGTCTCGTCGTAGTTGTAGACGTCGTGAGGTGTGATGCCGTTGCTCCGAATCGTGCTGTCTAAGTATTTGTACCAAGTAGAGAGATACTCTGGGTCGTGCGCAGCTTTGCGGTTAATATTAATAAGCTGCTGGCGACGCTTGTGATACTTAGGGTGTCGCTTTATCCAGCGAGATAACTAGTGGCTGCCGACAGTGGGTGTAGAGGTGTTGTCACTGGCAGCTCCGGCCAGCAGAAAGTTGGCAGCGCTTACAACGTGAGGAGGTCTCGTACTGAGGCCAATTGCGTCTAGGCGGTTAATATACTAACAGAGGGCGTCCTCCTGTTCGATAGAGAGCTTTAGGCCGTTGGGGCGAAGCGCTGACCGCGAAGGGACGCTACGCAGTCGTCTCTACAGTCGCTTATAAGGGACATTAAACTGTCGCACGGCCTCAGCGATTAAGGTTTTTGGCGGCGCTTCGCCGCTGCGAAGCCAAGCAGCAGCAGCCTGAAGCTGCTGTTCAGTCTGCTTGTAGAGAGACGTCATGGTGGGTAGCTGGTGGAGGGTTAAGCGAGTAGAGAGACGCCTGGGTGGCCTGGGACGCCTGGGTGGCGGGCACTCTCGTTAAAGAGTGCTCCCAAAAAATGGCGCTAAGCCTTTTTGGGATGAGCCCGAAGCTTTGCGAAGGTCCCTCACAGAGGCGCGGTTAATTCCCCCCCCCCAGACCTACCGCCTGCCTAATCGGGTAATAACCCGGCAGAATAGCAACTTCGCAACTTCGCATCTTCGCATGCGCATATCGCTCAACACCCATCCCACCCATTCCCCACGCCTCCACACGCCAGATATCGCTGCTGCACGTTGCCCACTGCCTCTCTACACTCCCGTAGGCCACCTGCGGCCTCACTTTGCGTTCCGCAAGCACGCACCGCCTTGAAACGAGTCTTGCGACGGTTACAGCACCTCCGTGCGTTCGCCGCACCTCTGCACATATTCGCTCAACACCATGCCTGAATACGACCTTGCCCCGCCACCAGAGGCCTCACACGACTCCGCGCAGGCCGCCAGGGACGAAATCAAGGCCTTCTCTCGAGAACACGGTTATGGGATGCGCGACAGAGGCACGAAAGCTCGGGTTGACGGCACTATAACGAAAATTCGCCTTGAATGTGACAGGGTCGGTACCTACACAAGCCAAGCTGTTCAACGCAAGACTACAGGCATGAAGGCCACTGGCTGCCCCTTCAAGATTGCTATTCGGCTTGTGGACAGACGCTACAGAGTTGAAAGCACTGGCACACATAACCATACTCCATTCATCAGTCCAATCGCCCACCCATATCACCGCAAGCTAACTGCTGCAAAAAAGCAGCAGATCGAGACCCTCAGCGTTGCTAGTCACCCAAAGCAAATACGTGCTCAGTTACACCACAGCGATCCTTCTGACATTACTCTGGCCTCTGATATTAAGAACTACCGGTATAAACTAAAGCTGCTACGCCTTGGCGGCCTTACACCCGTTCAGCGGATGGTGAAGGAGTTTCAAGACAGTTATGAATGGGTCTACGACTACAAGCTGGATACTACTGAGGATGGAGAGGAGGGCCCCGCTCCGGCACATCTCGTGTTCTGGGCACATAGGCGCTCACTGAAGCTCCAGCAGCGCTGGAGCCAAGTTATCATGCTCGACTGCACGTATAACTCGAACCTTGAGGGTACTTCACTGCTTCATATCGTCGGCAAGACCCCTTCAGGACGTTCTTTCGTTATTGGGTACTGCCTAATGGCGAGAGAGGGCGCTACTGAGTATGCATGGGCTATTGAACGCCTGAAAACACACCTTCTTGGCTCTATACCAACCATCTTCGTCACTGACTGCGATTTGGCACTGAAAGGTGCTCTGCAGCAGCACTTTCCCGGCATCCCACATATTATTTGCAGATGGCATATTACCAAGAATGTTAGTATAAGGATCGACCAGGCGTGGGCACACGGCGCAGAGGAGACTGCTGAAGAAAGTGTTGATATCGACACCGCCCGGGACGACTGCAAGAAGCGTTTCTTCGAGTTATCCATGGCCCGTAGCGTAGCTGAATGGGACCAGCGTTGGGCCGCCTTTCAGGACGACTACGCCGAGCAGGGATCCCTGATCGACTATATTCGTAACCAGTGGGTGCCCCTGAAGGAGCAGTGGTGCCAGGCATAGACTGATCGCCACCATCACTTTAATACTTAGTGAGTATTTATATAACTCTCTACGCACTGAATCAGACTGACTACACTTATAGTATTACATCAGTAGCAGAGGGTTCTCACGCTCGTATCAAGTCCTTTTTTGGGCACCGCCAGCAGGACGTTCTCACGCTGAAAGACAAGGTGCTAGTTGCCTTGAATAACGAGTGGATAGATATCGAGCATGCTGAAGCTTCAGCATATCTACGTCCGCAGCACGAGTTAAAGAGAGAGCCTCTTTTACAGTGTATAATCGACTGTGTCTTTCCAAAGGCACTGCAGAAGATACTTAAGCAGATCGAGCTAATGCGAGAGGGTACTAATTCGGCATGCTACGGCAATTTTGAGGACTCCATAGGCCTCCCATGTGCCCACACGCTGAAGCAGATGACGCTGAATGAGCAGTGGAAGCTACCCCTGAGCGATATTCACCCATATTGGCGCCTGGAAACACCTACTGCTAACAATGACCCCATATTAGCCATTCAGAACTTCATCCCACACCGTCGTCGCGGCCGCCCACGTGCTGGGCAGAACTCAACACCATCCAGCACTCGCCCGCGTGCAAGCACGCAGAGAGAGCCTTCACAATTTGAGGTGGCTGAGCAGGCGGATCGGGCCACTCAACAGCGTGCCAAGCGTACACGGACGAAGAAGGCAAAGGAGGACGCTTCACTGCAGGCGCAGCTGGCAGAGCTGAAGAAAATAATGCTCGAGCAACAACAGCAGCAGCAGCAGCAGCAGCAACTATTGCTACAACAGCTTCAGCAGGTGGAGGAGGAAGAGGAGATAACCAGGACAGTTACACGCAAGAGGAAGCGTACAACTACAACAACACGTCCAGTGGCCAAGAAGCAACAGCAGCAGCAGGAGGATGAGCCAATCACCGTTAGCAGCAGCAGCAGCAGCAGCAGCGAGGACGACTGCAACACCATGGAGGAGGATGGAGATACTGCCTTCAGCAGCAGTGCGGTACCCTCGGTGGGCAGGGAGATGCCAGCACGTGCGGGGCGTGGGCAGAACAAGCATCGGCAGCGTGACTGCTGAACACGTGATGGAGCGAGCTGGCGGCGGAGGAGGCCGCGGGAGCGCTCGCGCGCGCGAAAAAGCGACGTTTGTAACATGTAATAACTTGCCTCTTCGCGTGCCGCGCTGTGACAGTGAGGTTGGAGATATGGAATTTTTTGGTTGATTTTTGGTGTAAAATGAGGGGTGCTAGTTCCTGTTCCCCGCCAGCGCGTCTTCGCGCGGCGTCGCGCGAGCGACTGGCGCGGGCGGGTTGTGCCGAAGGCAGCTTTCTGCCGGGTTATTACCCGATTAGGCAGGCGGTAGGCCTGGGGGGGAAATAGCAGCTATTGGGGGGGGAATTAACTCGAGCCGAAATCAACCCGCAGGGCCCGGAAAGCCTTATGAGCAAAAGGCCCACAAGGGCTTGGAGACCACAAGGGCTTAGTAACCACACGGTCCCAACTCCCACAAGGCACCAGCCAGCACGTGCAGAACAAGCCCACACGGGAATGCCTCCCGCAGGGACCCAGCTAACCGCCGTGCTTAGTCACCCAAGGCAAGCCCACAAGGGATTCAAGACCTCAAGGTCGAAAAGACACCAGTCGGGAACCTACCAGGGTAGCGGGGACGACGGACCAGCAGAGCAGGACAAGGGTAATGGACTTATCGCGTCCGCTCGGCAAAGAAGAAGTCAGCTGGCGGAAAAGTGGTACCAAGTAGTCACGTGCAGCGACCCACCTGGATCACGGTGATCCAACGTCTCTGATCCAGCGCACGTCCCAACTGGATTAATATGATCCAGTTCCATTGATCCAACCCTCTCAATCCAAAGGGTACGATCCAGATTGTTAGCATTTCCTACATGTATTTAGACCACGCTCTCTAGAAGTAGATAGAACCCTCGTGGTCAACTCAAAGTATCAACCTCTACAATACGGTTGATGGTAACACGCCTACACTCGATCCTTCACGTGACTTGTCTCTCAACCTCCTACACTTCTTGTCCTTCAAGGTAAACCCACACACCTCTCCGTCCGGCCAGGTGTACTCCAAGCAAATACGCTAAGAATCCCACC